AAACTTTGGCCCGTGTAAATTTTTTAGTGTAGGGGTAAAAATATTAGAGTTAATTTGTAAGTGTAAAAGTTACACTACAAAATACACTAGGTAGCATTTAGTGCTTATTAACTTTATTAAACACATTTAAAGAATATGAACATTATTCATTGGTACATTCACCCTATTTATAATTAAAATAAATAAAAAGGGTAGAAAAACTTAATGCGAGTGTTTATTACCCCTTAATGTGTTAAATAGTAACAAAATGTACACTACAGTGCATGCCAATTTCTTTGTCTGTTTTGATGTTACTAAGAGCTCTTTTTTCTTTAAACTACTAGTGCACGTTAACGTGATACAATTGTATCACAATTAAAGTTAAATTACACCAATAGTTGCAAAATAGACTCAAAAAAACTGGTAATAACCGAAATACCTACGCAGTGCATATCCGGAGATACCGCGTTGTGGAAGTGTGGCATTTTTGTTCAGTTAGATTTTAATTACGGTGAATCCATAAGAGGACATTCTTATTTTTTGGTAAGTATTATACTTCCTTTTTCTTTAAGCCTTAATACTCAATAAATACCAATATGTTAAAAGGATGTCCATACCGACCTATATTATATATCAATAATTTACGGCAGTAGGTCGGGTACTTGTAACATTAATAATATAAGTACATACACACTTGATTAACTTTTTATTTTCAAGCGTAATGGTTGTTATATTAACCTATACCTACCTACATTTTTATTAATATTATGGAAAATTTGTACACATGTGGTAAATCCCCGACATACAGCCGCCTGACGCCTCTGTACCAATGGGATCACCCATTTTTTATAACAGAAAAATGGATTACTGATGAATTCTCAAGATAATTCATTGCTTACAAGTTGACAGCCAGTAAAACATTGCATTGATCTAAAACTTTTACGTTTTAAGGAACCATTTTGCTTAAGCCAGCCTTAAGACTCAAATATAAAATTATATTTTAAAAGGCACCGATTTTGATAATTGTCATAGATTTTTGTTCCAAATAAATGTTTCTCTTTATTTACATTTTCGTTTTATTCACTACCACCAATAAATAGGTTTTACTCAAATAATAGTGTTAATTTACACTAGAAATTGGCACTAAAAAAGTAAAAGTACCTTTCTAAAATTAGAACTTTTCCAAAGTAGTGTTAATTTAAACTGAACAAAAGTAGGATTTTACCCAGGAAGTATAGAAGTACACGATTTTAGGTAAATTAACACTTTTTAATAGTGTAAAATTACTTTATCCTCAGTGCTATAGTGTTAAATCAAACTTGCTTACTTGGGGAAAATTACACTACAAATTAACTCTAATTGTAGTTTTATAAAACAACACCATTTAGTGTGGACCTGTGTGAACTCTAATTAGTGTTGCTTAGAGTTGATTTTTTTTTACTGTGTAGGGAGTGTTTGCAAGGCATCTGGATAATGTTATTTGTTATATTCTTCCCAATGTTTACATTAATATACCAAATTAAAAAATAATTTCTACAAAGAACTTACTCGAAGTTCGCAGTTCACATTATTTTACTTCAAAGGTAAAAAGACAATTTTCCATATCATTTTACTCATACAGTTCGGCGACCCTGTTATAAATTCGTATTTTAGAAATCTTCGAAAAAACAGTCAAAATAGAGAAAATAGACGCTAGGAACGCTAGGAACAAAGAACATTATTAAAACTGTCATTTCGAGCAAATACTATACACAGTAACATGTTGTCTAGACTCTAAAGTTCAGAGTATTAACTTTTGTCAAAGTAAATAATGGAAGTAGTGGGATATTACGAACGGTGACGCAAAATCTGATGTAACTTCTATTGATTTAAGTTGAAGCTTAATTTTCCTTGTTTCTTAAGTTTTTTATAAATACTATAAACTTAATAAATATTAAGTTTTGAAAGAAATATATATTTGAATAATTTGAATATTTGAAAGACTATTAAAATTGCATTAATTTTTGCGGTTCTCAAATAATTTGAAAAAAAAAGTTAGTTTTACATGTTTATGTTACATTTATCTACATTTTTATCCAATTAGGAAATTTTCTCGCATACTAAAGTTTATAAACGAGTTGCTTACTATACTTTTTCTACGACAAATAATATTATAAAAATAATCTATTACTAATTAATTTGAATATTTGCATAAAGCGACGGCTATACAAAAATAAAATAACAAAAATTAACGTTAGGAATCTGTTTTACCGGCTTTCAAAATGTGTGTCAGTGTCAGTTTGTCGATTTTTTCTGTAAAAAAGAAAAATTGAAAATGGATTAAAAACCGTTTAAATCCGATATAAAAGCAGTTCTTCACAGTGAAAGTAAAGAGGAAGTTTTTATGGGTACCTACTCTACCCGAAATTAACAATGCTTTCTCGGTTTACTAGTTTCCTGCCGGAGAAAATTCGAGTGCAAACGTGCGTACAAACAAAGATTGGTGTCAAGAATGGATTAAACTATTTAATAATTTTTTATTGCGATAATTAAATTATTTCACAGTTGACAACTAGGGTTTTAAAGAGTTGCAAAAAACTTGAAAAATTGGGTTTTTTTTCAATTTTTTTCACAGGGCTTGAAAAAATTGAATTTTGTTTTGGAAAATATACACATTTGAAAAAAGGAGCAATCAACAACTTAACATTATTTTAATTTAAAAAAAAATATCCCATGTTACCGAAAAAAACTAAACAATGAATTAAACTAAATTAATTAAAAAAAATAAACGTAAAGTTTAAAGCTAAAGCGTATCAAATGATACATAATATCGTATTCTGACTTTCCCATAATCAGGCACTGTTTGAGGTCCAATGACAAATGGACATGGTGCGCTGTCTTAACTTCGTTTATATACCTAGTCGAGGTGGTAACACGAGCAAGATGTAAATGATGTGTATAAGTATAAGTTTGTTACGTAACATAAATGTAACTGTAACGTAACAAACTTATTACAATAATATTGCAATGTTACGTTGCTGCTGTATTGCTTATTGGTAATTTTGTTACATTACAGTAGTTTCACAATGTTACGTTATTGTTATATTGCTTATTGGTAATTTTGTTACATTACAGTAGTTTCACAATGTTACGTTATTGTTATATTGCTTATTGGTAATTTTGTTATATTACAATAGTTTCACAATGTAACGTTGCTTTTATATTGGTTATTGGTAATTTTGTTACATTACAATAGTTTCACAATGTTACGTTATTGTTATATGGCTTATTGGTAATTTTGTTATATTACAATAATTTCACAATGTTACATTGTTGTTACATTGCTTTTTGGTAATTTTGTTACATTACAATAGTTTCACAATGTTACATTGTTGTTACATTGCTTATTGGTAATTTTGTTACATTACAATAGTTTCACAATGTTACATTGTTGTTACATTGTTTATTGGTAATTTTGTTACATAACAATAGTATCGCAATGTTACGTTATTGTTATATTGCCTATTGGTTAACTTGGAACGGTAACAATGTTACCATTATTTTAGGTAACTGTTGCGTTGCATTTTAGTAACATCGTTACATTGCAATGTGACTCCTATAATACATAACGGCAATACTGTGTTACCGTTGAGTGAAGAAGTAGTCAATGGTGTTACGTTAAATGTTGACGGGGTTGTAATGTCTGTGTTTGGTTTAGAATTTGATGACGCAATTTTAAACATTCTCCGCGACGACTATATCAACCTACTTAAAGCTAACTTCACTTTGTGACTAAAAAGCTTGACATCCACCGCTGTAAACGCCATAGTCACAGCTTGTCACTTTGTATTTAAAAGATCACTTAGTGTCATGGAAATATGTACGATAATGGGCGTTTTAAAGGTGGGAGTAGAAAAAACTAACAAAGCCTTAATAAGGTACTTAAATATAGAACGACCGGTGCACCTCGGTGGTATATTTCCGATTTTAAACCAAAATATTTTTTTTATATCTTAATACTTCAACAATTCAAAATCCAAAATAAACTTTAGTATTCAGGATATTCAGGATATTATTTATGGAAGACAACGTGCACTGAAAGAAATTTGTTGCTAAAAGTAAATACAAATTTATACTAAAAATTTTATACTAGTGCTTTACACATTTATACTACTGTTTATTATGAATGTATGGTAAATTTTGTAATACATTTATTGTAAAGAAGATATGTTAGATCTAAATAAAAATAAACTTACCCTTACTATAAAATGTAAACTATAAGTGAATTACAGCAAAAAAATATTGCTAGAAACACCATTTATATTGCTAGGGCAGCAATAGGCTGCTAACCAAACGAATATATTTGTTTTAGCAATGTATGTGGTAGTCTATATATGAAACATAAAATATATTTGCCCTAATTATTTTTTTATTTAACTTTAGTATATATTTCTTTCAGTGTGGGCTTAATTACGTCCCAAGCGTAGTCTGTAATTCCGGATTATATTTAACTATAAAGCGTATTTTCTTTCCATTTGTTAAAAGTAATTTTTGTTCTGTTTTGTATTATTAAAATATAAATGGTAACCATCATTCATATAATTTTTAAAACTGGAAGGTAAATTGTGGTTTGTTTTTTTTTCGCTCTTACCCTCTCAAATGTTTTTATTTAATATAAAAAAATCCTTACCAAATATGGGCGTTCCAGCTCAACTCTAAGAGGTCGCTGTTTTTATTTTAGTTTCCCATTTAATTAACATGGGAAAACATAATTTTCATGGTTTCAGCACCATCATTCATATAATTTTTAAAACTGGAAGGTAAATTGTGGTTTGTTGTTCAGTAACAATATATTTTCCGATAAACTGACTTACCTACATTAAAAGTAAATAACGACATCTGGCTTTGTCAACTAAACCTGTTCTTATTTTCGTAAACTTATCGAAAATGTATTTTAAAACCAAGCTTTTACAATATACAATCTTTATATTTACTTTATAATACCTGCTTAGGAATTGCGATATAAAAAAAGTGTCACTCACCACTAATGTATTTCCCAACGCTCCAAAAAGTATCAAAATACCATAAAAAAATATCAAATAAGTGTAAGCAGGCTCCTCTATAGCTTTATTACTTGTATACGAATTAATTAATCCTTGATCCACATCCTTGCTCCTGTTAACGATGTGCTCCCAGGTCTCCAATGGGATAGTCGATGTATTCGTTAAATTACTCAATGACATTTTTACGTTTTTCAATTATCAACGTTCGTTAAACTGAGAAGATTAAGGAAGTCCTACATTGCACGTAACAGCAACTAAAACAAAACAAAAAAAATAATTAAAAGTACACAACGGTATTTATTTTATTGTAAATAATAATCAATATACCTAAGAATCTCATTGACCAAATTTTTGGCGGTCCTTGGGCGATAAGCTGATAACTATAGTTGGTTTACAAATGGACTCAATGTAAAACATTCATTTATATTTTAGGCAAAAAGTAAGCAGACGCAATAAATGGAGAAGATTTACATTATAAAGTGACCCCCAAACCCAAAGAGTTTCTTGTTTTTTTAGAAGAATTTTGTTTTTTATATTTATTTTTTAATAAATTATTGTAACAGTAAAATTTGTGTTACCTATTTATTTTGTTTTTTTTTCCTTAGGGGCTGTTGGAATAATGGCTAATTTACCCCTATGTGCAAAGCAAGAATTATTTTGTTGCAATTCATTACCTACCATTTCAGCCACGTGACTCAAGTATTTTGATTGGCTAAACCATCGCCTTTAATGTGGATAGATATTTTATTTCATTGCATAAAACATGTTAACATATTACGTGGCTGAAATGGTAGGTAATGAAATGGTGATATTAAACTCACCGTGAACCTAACGATTTTAAGTAATTTTTATTTAGAAAAGGTAACACATTTGTTACAATTGAGTTACAATTTCAACACGCAAAAATGTTAAATTTCTATATACGTACAAAATTATTGAAATATCCGTCACGACTTAGGCGGTAAAGTGACATTTTCCAGTCTGAAAGAAGAAATGTACACTTCTTGAAGCTTGGAAAAATCACTTTACCGCCGTGGTTTACACGTTTTTTAGTTTTTCTTCCTATACGTCACTGCAAAAGAAATACTAAAAATGTGAACAGCAAGTTTTGTGTGACATGCATGTCATCTACAAAACAGACCTCATCGGCAACCACACACAGTTAAACATAACTTTCTGCAGAAATCTATAATGTTGATAATTTAATGTTAATAATTTAATTTATAATTTACTAATATTGAATTTTATTGGGACAGTTATTTTATAGAAATAATAAAGCTTTTGTTTGAACCAAATAAGTTAATTACAATTTTTTAATTTAACATATTTTTGCAGCGACCTCTATTAAAAAAAAGTAAAAAAAACTTTACCGCCTAGGCATTTGTGATTATTTTTGCAAGGCTAGCTGTAAAAACACCTATTTTCTTGCCCATATGAAGACGGTAAAATTTAACTTTAACATAGTGTAGGAAACAAATTGTTTTTTGCAATACTTTTTAAAATTTTATGTACATTAGGGTGGACCAAAAACCCGATTTTTAAGTCTCCCATAAAAATTTATTAGTTATTCATCTTTTAAGAGCTCTATCGTTTAAAATTTTTTTAGGGGTTGCTCATTAATTTAAAAAATTCCAAAAATATTTCCATTAATTAAAAAATCAAATATAATCAAAATTATATTTTTTAGTTAAATTTTTCTGTTTTCTACAGTGAATTTTTGTATATAAATTAATTTAAAAAAAGTTAATCAATAATAATTTTGATTTCCAAATAACGTTTTCCTGACTCTCTTGATCAAACTGTAGTGACAAGATCATTGTTGTTTTACTTTGGGCCCCAAGGAAATATAACAGGACCCAAATAAATTGTATTGAGTTAAAATATTTTAAGAAAAAAAAAATCTTGAAATTTAGGATTTAAGTAGGTTTGGTTCACTTAACTTTTATGTAATGACGCTTGCAAGGATATATCCACTCCACTAATGGTAAAATAAGTAGTCTCCAGTTTTTAAATTAATTTATCATTTTGGTCCGAAATATAGCGATATATTTCTTTTAAACTTTTTTCATAAAATGTTGAGAATAGGATACCAAAAAATCAATACATAAATATATATACATATATATATATATATATATATATATATATTAGGGTGCTTCAAACAATAAAATTTAATTTTTTTTTCGCTCTTACCCTCTCAAATGTTTTTATTTAATATAAAAAAATCCTTACCAAATATGGGCGTTCCAGCTCAACTCTAAGAGGTCGCTGTTTTTATTTTAGTTTCCCATTTAATTAACATGGGAAAACATAATTTTCATGGTTTCAGCAACATGAATCAATGTCCGGCAGTACCCCAACCAATAGGAAGACGTGGACCGATGTAATGGCCAGCAGGATCCCCTGATCTAACATCATTATACATCTTCCTATGGGGATATGTCAAAAGTTTTGTATACAAAACCAAACTCCTCGATTTAGCTGACGTTGCCAAGTTGTTCACGGCGGGCATTTTAAACATTGCTATTAGTTTTTTTTATTCCCTAACATTATCAAAAAATAAACAGTATTTTGGAGAGCATTTCTGTAATCAAATAATTATAGTTCTTTGTTAATTTTTTAATTTCGAAACAGTTACATGGTATATAAAATATGTCTAAAATTTTCTGAAGAATCCAAAAATTAAATAATATACAGTGATGCATTTGAACTAATAAATTTGGTATTGGGCACTCGATTGGGCACTGCTACATGACACATCCTGTACAACAAGTTTTTGTTGAAAAACCCGGCTCCATTTATGTATTATCGAATTTATTCCATTTGGATTTTTTTTGATAAACAATCACTGGTCCTTTTTTAGCATTAAATTATCTACAAAAAATCCAGAGTCCAGCTTGTAGATTCAACTCTTTCTTTTTTATTAACGTTGAAACGTATAAATTCTAAAAAAAATTGATTTTTACATTTAGCGGCTAAAGCTCTTTTAATGCTCTACAAATTGGTTTTAAACAATTTTTTTATCACCTTCAGTTCAAAAGTTTTAAGTGTCTAAAATCATTTATCACTATTCTGCATAATATAATATTATAATATTCACTGTAGGAAAAAAAGTTTAGGGACAATTTTGCAGGAAACTTGAAGCTCTATAACGTACCAAGATTCTTCAATACGCTCAATTAATCGCTGAATTTAAGCTAAAATAGCTTAACTGTTATGATATTCTTAATTTCATGATCCAGCTTTTGACTGCAAATAAAATTTTATACTTGGCTTCAAAACAGTTTTGAAATAGGTAGGTACTGAAAATAATTTTTAAGGTTTAAAATTATTTTCAGTATTTTATTTGCAGACAAAAGCTGGATCATGAAATTAAGAATATCATAAAAGTTAAGCTATTTTAGCTTAAATTCAGCGATTAATTGAGTGTGTTGAAGAATCTTGGTACGTTATTTAAGTGCTTTGAGTTTCCTGCAAAATTGTCCCTAAACTTTTTTTCCTACAGTGAATATTATAATAATATATTATGCATAATTATGAAAATGGGATTTTGTACACTTCTAACTTTTGAACTGTAGGTGATAAAAAAAATTAATCAAAACTAATTTGTAGAACATTAAACGATCTACAAAATTGCTAATTGTCTTTTTTTCTACGATTTGAAGTTTAGCCGCTTAATGTAAAAATATCAATTTTTTTTAGAATTTATACGTTACAACGTTATAAAAAGAAACAGTTGAATCTACAGACTAGACTCTGTAAGATTTTTTGTAGATAATTTAATGCTAAAAAAGGACCAGTGATTGTTTATCAACAAAAAAAAGTTGTACATAGTATGCAGGCGAAATAAATCTTAAAAAACTATTTTTCCTTGTTAAATCAATGGGAAAATTTTAAATTCGATGATGGACCTTTTAAAATTAATAGTAAGAGGTCAAATTTTGATAGAATTTTTTTAGCAAAATTGACGAGAATTTCACATGAATTTGAAAAAAGAAAAATATTGCCTTATTTTGAAACACCCTAATACACACTGTATAATATTAATAAAAACTAAATTATTTTTTTTTTTTCATTTAAAATTAAGTTATTTCTACTTTAGAATTCTTCATGAATATTAAATTCCATCTTAAATTTCTTATCGTGATAAAGAATCGGAAGCATCGATGTTTAAACGAATTATCTAAAAAAAACTAGCAGTTCATTACGCTTTATAATTATTACATTCAAAATTTTAAGTTTGAACTACAAATGCAATTTATTTTTATTGAATTAGCAAAAAAATTCAGGTAAAACTTGGTAGTTTGGTTCGTGTCGAAACTTGAAAATGTCTGCGATCGCATAGATAATGCTGAACTTTTAATTAACTTTTCGAATTATTCCTCTAAATAATTAATTTTTAAATTCAAAGAGAAATCGATAAACAATTATGTCAATTTTAACTTTAAGTAGGAAAATACAATGTAGGTTGGCCCAAAAAATAAAAGTTTTAAATAAGTTTGTCTCCACAAGTTTTTTTATCCTATGACGTCTTAATAAGAAGATGAAGGTTCTTTCAGTAACAATGGAACATTTAGGCAATTTTGGACGCTTTATGTTTTTTAACACCATTTGTTTATCGTCAAAGAGAGGTTTTTTTTTGGATAACTTTTCAAAATAACTAGGAGCTAAATATCGCTATGGAAAGCTCTAATTCTAAGTAGAGCTTTATTTCAATATCTCACATCAACCAAGCTCATAATTTCATTTTAGAGTTTTCAGAAGAAGACGTAGATGGTTGTAAAATTATGCCAGTACGCCTTTACTCTCCCTTTCTGCAAATTTATTAAAAACATTTTTTGTTTTTTTTTCGCTGTCTCTTTCTATTTTCCCTTGCTATAGTCAGCACTTCTTGAAAAATCTTCTTGTTTGCTTTTGAGAGAAACTTTGTCGTCAACGTTTCTTTATTTTAATCAAAGAGTCTTTCGCAACAACATTAAACAAATATTCGTATTATTAAGAGTTAAATATCGTTTATACAGTTTTAATAGTTTCACACAACAATCAATTTGCTGAGTAGGTACCCTGGAACGCGTCCAAATAGTCAAAACTGCTTCGCACGTCTTTAACTCACTGGCAAAGTCTTTTTAAATGGTGAAATTAAACTCGGAGACAATGTAATTCACGAGGTGTAGAAAAACTGCAAATTGACTGTTTGAGAAGCCAGTTAGTTGGAGCAGATCTCGTCGACATTCTGACAAGTATACACCAGTGG